CCCCAGAACTACAGCTTTAAAAGGAGAGTTTTCTTAGAATACAAACCTTACGTTAGCACTGCTTGCATCACCAGTCCCAGTAAATCAGTCCTTTTGGCTTGAGAATGAGGAATTCAGTGGCAGCTGCTTGCTGACATGAAACTTTTTGCTAAGAACAACCAAAACATACTCTCTCACCCCTTGATCTGCTTTGCTTAGTTTATTAGTGAATGCTGGGAAGTGGTATTTACAGAAAAGTTTAGTATCATGTAGGGATGGCCTGTCCTCTCCCATTGGGGTGCCTATGTGGTATAAATAATCCTATTTTAATCCCAGTCTAAACATGGGCCTAAAACAAGATGTTTGTGCCAAGAAGAATTCTAGGAGGCTTTACCCCTGATGGTGGGAAGTGGAGGGTTAGGGATGAGCAGGGTAAATAATAGAATCATCAGCCCCACCGAGCTGGGGCAGGGGGTGGTGTGCACATTTTCATTGCTTTGGATAACCAAAGTGGGGTGTGGGAAGGGGTGAAGATTTGGGTTTTATGGTGCCCCTGCCCTTAGTGGGAAGAGAATGTGCTAGACTCTCTGGAAATTGGGGGAGAGTTACTTGGCCTCAGTTTCCCATTGTGTCAGAGGCTGATACTCAGCCTTCCATGCAGGGTTACAGTAAAATTAGGTGCAGAGCAAACGAAAGCTGCAGCACTATGCCCAGCACACTAGGACTCTGGAGTCATTTCTGTTATTTTATTTATATTTGAAAAAAAGGGGGAAATAAGCATTTTGGAAATGTTTTGCTTAGTAGCTGCTTGTTTTAACTTATTGGCTCTTAAGTAAGAACATTTTCTTTCACCATCACTGTCTACAACCACATTCCAGATATATTCTTCTTTTTGTAATATATTTTTATTGATTTCAGAGAGGAAGGGAAAAGGCAAGAGAGAGAGAAACATTTATGATGAAAGAGAATCATTGATTGGCTGCCTCCTGCCCTCCCCCTACTGGAGATCAAGCCCACACCCCAGGCATGTGTCCTGACCTAGAATAGGAACCGTGACTTCCTGGTTCATAGGTAGACACTCAACCACTGAGCCACGCCAGCTGGGCCCAGATACATTCTTCCCTCTGCTCTTTCTGGATGTTCCTTGAAATTATATGGTATATGCTTTCTGTTTCTTACCCCATAAAAATCATATCATCCTTTAAGGCTTTGAGCAAATGTCTCCACAAAGCCTTCTCAGATGCTCTAGTGCTGGGCAGAGGACATAACCAGGAAGATCTCTGAATCTGTAAATGGGATAGCGTGGATGAAAGAAGATGATATATATTAAATGCTGATTATTATATCCAACACATAGTACATTACTCTAAAGAATAGCTTCTCTTTTAGGTAGTGCCAATGAGAATGGAAAGAAAACTAGGAAGTCTACTAAGGATGTACATACAGCCAAAACTAGTTTTGCTCAGTGGATAGAGCACCAACCTGCTGATTGAAAGGTCTCAGGTTCTATTCCCATCAAGGGCATGTATCTTGGTTGCGGGCACATCCCCAGTAGGGGGTGTGAAAGAGGCAGCTGATTGATGTTTCTCTCTCATTGATGTTTCTAACTCTCTATCTCTCTTTCTCTCTAAAATAAATAAATAATTAAATAAATAAATAATTAATAAAATATGTTTAAAAAAGAAAAAAGGATGTACATACAGGGACAGGCCTCAGTGGTTGATTCCTTGTATGGAATGGGAAGGAGATGGAGGGGACAGGGATGACACTTGGGTCTCTAATTTTTGAGCAAGAGAAATGAAGCTATTCATGGAGTTAGGGACAAAAGTGGGTTGTTTGTTTTTTGTTTTCTGTGGAGGTTTCATTTTTGTTGTTTTGTTTGGATGAAATGTTGCAACTAGAAGACATGGCACTTGGTCCTAGGCATGTGGACTTTAACAAGTTCTTGGGACACCCAAGATATCCAAAGACTGTTGGCTATATGGGTCTGCATCTGAGGAGAGAGGTATTTGAGTGTCTCTTACTTCTTCTCTCTTTCTTTCTATCATGGGCCTAAGTTATCCTTCAATTCATTTGAAGGATTTATAACTTCCAGACCCATAGTTTAAACTCTAGAGTGTCTCTGTCCCTCCTTTTAATTTATTTATCCACTCAACACATATCAAATGCCTACTATCTGTTAGGGACAATGCATGACACTAGGAAAACAGTATGCAAAATGGACATGATTCTTACCCTTGTGATGCTCAGCTGAGACACTAACATGAGAAAAACATTCAGCATTTGTGGTTCTTAAGTAAAGCTTTATGAGCACAGAGAATAGCATATAATTTTAAATTTTCCAGAGTATTGTTTTCTCTTTCTGTTTTTTAGCTTTTATTACTATCGGGAAAAGCTTTATTTATACTATACTAGTATAATGTTTATTGCTTTGAATTCTACCTTGTCTTATGATAATATTGCTACCTCAAATTTTTTCATTTACATGCCATAATTTTGACCACTGCTGGATTTTATCTCTTCTAACATGTGAGTTATTTTTCCACTTAACTTAATGTTTTGTTAAAACTGACATTTGAAAAAACTCATAACATAAAATTTACTATCACAGTCATTTTTAAGTTGCAGCTCAGTAGTACTAACTAGATTCACATTGTTGTATAACAGATCTTCAGACTTTTTTCATCTTGTAAAACTGAAACTCTGTATCCATTGAACAACAACTCCCTATTTCTCATTCACCCCGCCCCTGCGTTGCAACCACAATTCTTTTTGTTTCTATGAGTTTGACTATGTTAGACACCTTATATATATGGAATCAGATAGTATTTGTCTTTTTATTAGTAGCTTGTTTCACTTACCATAATGTCCTCAAGGTTCTCATATGCTAAACATGTGATAGAATTTATTTCCTTTTTTGAAGGCTGAATAATATTTCATTGTGTGTGTATACCACATTTTCTTTATCCATTCCTCCTTTTATGGACATCTGTAAATAGTGAGTGACATGAGTGTGAGTACCTCTTGGCCATTGTGGATAATGCTGCAATGAGCACAGATGTCCCTCCAGATGCAGACATTAATCTAGCTCATGCCTGAAAAGGGTTTTGACTATAACTAAAATTGCAGGCTTGAGCTGACAGGGAGGAGACCATGGGCCACTTCTGGCCAGGATTCCATCGCTGGTTGTCTAAGAGCAACGACAGAGTGAAGGAGAAATACGAGTGGCTGAAAGTTTCCTGTCTGAAAGGGCATAGGCCGATCCTGTGCAGGATGTCATGCTCAGCACTTCCCTGTGGAAGGAGAAGTGTGAGGGTTTCTTGAATTAAAAAAAAAATATATGACAATCAAGTTGTTGTTTTTTCCAAATTCTCATGATTATAAATAATAAGGAAAACAGGAACAGGCTCAGCAGGGGAGGATATGAAAACCTCAGCATGGAGGAGGCCCCTTGTGTTACTTGGAAAGAGAGTTCATTGTGAAAAGAATATATTCATACTTTACATGTAGTACAGACTACTGAAATTTAAGCTTAACATGTGTTCTGACTATTGGGATGTGGATTATGATAATAAAGGAAGTGGGTCTGTGTGGCTGATGCAACAAGACCAATCTCTCAAAGGGCACAAAAGCCCCAGAACATCTAACCTGATGTTCTGAACTCTCTCGGCTGTTGACTCTCTTAAAGAACTTCAGTTTCACTTGGAGGGGGCCAGAGTCTGGATCTGGACTCCCAGTTCATGCCTGTGGGTGGCATTCCTAATAAAATTAGTTCATACACAGAAGTCAAGACCAGCTATGAGTTTCTTAGGAACTATGCTTTCAAGGAGAAAAGAGAAAACCACTACAAACATAAACCACTTACACTTTCATTGGTTTCTCTTAGTCCATCATTTCAGTCCTTAGAGAAGAGGAGAAGGAATATTGACTTGTTTGTACTCTACTGGAGCTTCTTGTAATCATAGCAAATATGCTTATTTTGTGGGACAGGGAAGCAGAGAAGGCACTGGCTTGGGAGTCTGAGATGGGTTCAAGTTCCAGCTTGGGCACTAAGCAGTGGGGTGGCTTCAGACATGTGCCTTCCTGTCTTGAATGTCAGCCTGCCTTCTGTGAATGCCTGCAGCACTCAGACTAGATGTGTCATTTATTTCAGCTCTAATACTCTGTGAATTAATGATATCACTTGTGCCTTGGGTGCATTCTACTTTTTATTTGGCATTTGTTCATTTGATACATATATACATATATAAAAAATCTGTACATGGTAAAAATACAAAATATTTCTTTATAAGTTATGCCATTAAACAGCTACCTTTTTAACGTTTAAAAACCATTGCAAAAAGAAAAGAGAAGGAAGTCTAGCCAGTCCTTTAGTCACTCACAATAACCTTGGTATAAAATATCCATACAATACATGTGTACAAAATAGTGTACAGTTCATAAAAGCTGTGCCAAGACAGCAAAGTTCAGTAAAGAAAATAATATCAAAGAGGCTTGTGGGTCTCTCTCTCTCTCTCTCTCTCTCTCTCTCTCTCTCTCTTTATCGTGCCCAGTGCTCAGGAGCTTTGCAGGTCAGTGAAATTTCCCCAGAAATAATACAAGGGCATAAGGCAGAGTGCTTGGTGCATATACTATGGATGCAGAAATTATTTAAAAAAAAAAAAAAAAAAAAAAAAGCTTTAACACACACATCCAGAAATAGAGACTGACATTTCCTCCTATTTAGGGAACTCAATTCTTTGCCCAGAGAGTGTTTGGAATATGACAGAAAAGACTCAGGATTTGTGTTATACTTTAGGCCAGAAGGTCCAGGTAAGAACTCTTTCTTTTTGGAAATTCTTTAGTTTTCTCAGGGCAGTGTCATGGGAAGACGGTTACCAGGATCTGGAGTTGGGTAGGAGGCCCTTGCTACCCCAGACAGGGAGGTGGAGGGATCTAAGACGCCAGGGTTCTTGACGTTAGAAGCTGGTTGTGGCCCCTACCTGGGTTTCCTCCTCCACACAGGTCTCCCACCTCAGAGGTTTATCGCTGCTAAGGACCAGCAGGGCCTAGCTCCCCTCTAAACCCAGGCTGTGAGGGAACGCGCCACTGTGTTTAAAATAGCTTGCAATAAAGATGGAAGGTAGCCCTTGGGTACCAGTTAAAGCTGGGGCCAAGGCCTGCATTTCACTTGTGTGGAGAGGGCAGTTAAGAGGTGTCTGGGGAAATGCTCCTTTGGGCCATGGAAGGGGCGGGGGCGCCCTTGATAAGGTGACGGGTCCACCGTGGGAAGCAAGTGAACACCCCACTGCACCCACTTCTCCCATTTCAAAGCACTTAGAAACAGTACCCAAAGCTCTTAGAAACAGTACCCCGGGGCGAGGGAGGCTTCTAAGACACCGTGATCTCCTCTTCCTCGCCCTCGTCCTCCTCCTCGGAGTCCGAGAAGTCCGAAGGTTTGCCTGGGCTGCTTGTCGAGTGCGCAGGGGAGGCGGGCAGGGGCCCTTCCAAGCGCGGGTCCCGCAGGTGCCGAGGATGGAGGGACGCGTGGTAGGCCAGGCTGGGGCCAGGGCTGGCCCGGCCCTCGTCTTCCTCTTCCTCGTCCCCCGGGCCCTTTTGGCCCACATCGCTGAGGTCCGGGTGCGGGTTGAGTTTGGTGGGAAGGGTCTGCTCTCGGCAGCCCCCGCTGGACAGCAGCTCGCGCTCCTTGGAGTTCCGCCACTTCATGCGCCGGTTCTGGAACCAGATTTTCACCTGGTGGGCGAGGGGCAGAGAGCAGGGCGGAGGCCGAGGTGAGCGCAGACCCCTCCTCAGAGGTGAGGGCTTGGGCGGGATGTTGGGGGAGGAGGGGGAAGGCAGCTGTGTCCTTCCCTTCCTACCCTGACCCCCATCCCCTGCTGTGGATCTCCGCATTAAATCCCCTCACCCCCATCTCCACACCTCTCGCCGAACCCAGGCCCAGATGGTCAGGGATGGGACGCTGAGTCCCAGGAGGTAGGGAGGGGACTGTCCGGAACAGCCCAGAGAAAGCTGGGTGCTGCACACATTCCCTCCCTGCTAGGCCTTCCTGTCCCCTTTCTGCACAAGCAACCCAACTAGGGGTTCCAGAAAATTGTAGGAGTCCTGGGGGAGGGGAAGCTCGTGAGGACGGGGCTGTGCGGGGCGGCTCTTACCTGGGAGTCTTTCAGGCCCAGCTTGGCCGCCAGCTTCTTGCGGTCGGGCTTACTGATGTACTTCTGCTTCTGGAACATCTTCTCCAGCGCCTTGCGCTGCACGTCCGAGAACACGGCTCGGCGCAGCATGCCCCGGCGGGGCTTTCCGCGAGAGGCCAGCGGCCAGGAGAAGGTCCCGGGGATGGGCACGACGCTGGAGGAAGCTGCGGGGGCGGGAGAGGGGGGGAGAGGAGAGGAGAGAGAAGCGAGGGAGGGGTAGTGAGTGGGCGGAGCCCGCCACGGTGGGAGCACCTGCCTCCCCAGTCACCCCCCACCCTGTTGTCTCTCTGATCCCTGCATCTCTTTAAAGTTCTCGCTTTTCTCCCCCTGGAGAACCGCCACGAACCTACAGACCTAGGAGAGCGAAGGGCGCTTTCCGCCCAGATAACGTTCCCTTTCAACCGCGCAAACCCGGATTAGGTAAATCTACCGAAAACGCAGAAAACAGCTCCCACAGCAGCCTGTTTTCGTTTTTCCATTCAGCGATCTCAGGGAAACAAACCTGTGGACCTCAGCTAACTTAGCCACAGAAAAAATAAACTACAACACTAAACTATCCAGCTGAGGCCACTGGGTTTCCTTAAAAGCTTTTATTACCTTGGTGGCTTTTGCCTTCTTTGCCTTCTTTCCATGAAAATGAGATGCTTTACTGATTCGATAGCGAAGAGAAAAATCCTCTTTGGATTTTTAAAAACCCAATCAGTATTCATCATATATATATATATATATATATATATATATATATATATATATATATATATATTTCCTCCCCTCCCCCACAAATGGTAAAGAATTCAGCTGGAAAACATGAAAAGTGGCAGCTAATTAGCACATGGACCGATTCCCAATGGGTATTGGCATGGTAAAAAAGGGGAGAGTTTCGCTTTAAGGGAAGGGGTGGGGGACCAAAAGAAACAGAGCCTCTAATGAAGCGTGAATGGTAATTGTGTAGTAATGAACTAACAGAAAAAGACTGAGGACAAGCAGCGAAAGCCATATATTACTGGGACAAAAGAGATTTACACTTTCAAACTAAACACAACTGCGGGCCAAGACCATTGGGAGAATACTGATGGCAGAGGCTTCTCTCCCGCGAATCATTTTCATTAAATGGACATGAAAAGCTATTTAGAAAGCTCGGGTTGTTTTTGTTAGAGCATTGAGACTGGAGAGAAAGGGAGCAAATTCCATTATCAGCCGCAGCATGAATGGTGGTTGGCGGTGGTTGGCGAATTCTCTCTCCCCCTTTTTAAAAATCAACTGCTTGTTTTTCTGGCTGATAGTTGGGAGTGCGGTTGTGGCTTTCCCATCCCCCACTGACCATGCCCCTCTCCTGCCTGTGTAGGGGCTCCTCCGGGGCCTTCAGAGTCTTGACCAGGTGCAGCGTTTTTGAGCCATCCCTGGGGCTCCAGGAGGAAAATCTCACGGAACCTGTTTAAGGTGCTTCTTTTTTATTTATTTATTTATTTATTTTATTGATTTTGTACAGAGAGGAAGGGAGAGAGTTAGAAACACCAATGAGAGAGAGTCATTGATCAACTGCCTCTTGCACACCCCCTACTGGGGATGGGCCCTGCAACCAGGGTACATGCCCTTGACTGGAATCGAACCCGGGACCCTTCAGTCTCCAAGCCAACGCTCTATCCATTGAGCCAAACCGGTTTCGGCTAAGGTGCTTCTTTTTTAGATGAGGAACAACTCCGGGCTTCCCCAAGACTTATTTTTTATCAGACTAGGGGTCCTTTAAAAAAATATGGCTGTGGGGGAAGGCTATGAGAAGAGGTTGGGAAATCAGGTTGGATAAAGAAGATTGGGGGGTTGTGGGGGGTTCTAGCCTCCCTTCTCCAGGGCGACCCCAGGCATCCCACACAAGAGGGCACCCCATGTGGTCTCGTGGAAAGCCCGGAGCCCCTGAATGAGTCTTAAAAAGAAATTAGCCCCGGCTGGTAGGTGTCTCTGGATAGCTCGGAGGGGCTAAGGGCCGGTCTGTGTGTGGCTGCCCGGAGGAGCTGACCAATTGGTCATGGTGCTGAAACCTTTGTGGGGAATCGTGGCCAAGTGCACTGACTCTGTGGGAAAACGGCGGCGTGAAGGGATGCCAACAGCTCCTCGCCGGGGAGGGAACCGCCTCAAATTGGGACCATGACAATTCCTGCTAATTTGTAGAGCAGGGAATTGGTGCAAAGTGTCAAGCAGTCACCGCTTGTGCTAAATAGGGCATCAAATTGGCGCGACGGATTCGTGAATGTTGTACGCCTCGCAACCTCTGAACCAGAGCGTAACCCCGAGGGGTGGACAGAGAAATATGGCTTCGGAGCAGGGAGCTACGGGCAGGAACTGGGGCGCCGCTCAGCCTCGCGAAGGGGAGGGGAGGGAGGTGAGACCTACCTGGGAAATACGAAGATCTGATGAAAGGCTGGAAGGAACCTTCGAAGTAGGGAAAGGCGAAGGTCTTGGGAGGGCCGCTCTGGAGCAAGGCGGGGGATGCTTCTGGAAGAGAAAGAGGGAGGAGGAAAAGAGAGGGAGACGGAAAGGGAATTTGATAACGCACTTGATTATTCTGCTCATGGAATGCATGGTATGATTAACCCTTCGGCTGGTTTCAAAGGCGTCTTCCTCAATGTGCTCACAGAATTAAATCTAATGTTCCCCTAACATGTCTCATCTGCGGGAAATTTTCCTTCATTTATCCTCAAAATAGTCCTCAGAGTTGTCTCTTTCCCCCTCCCCTCACTCCAGTCTCATCCTAGGCACTAATGAGATATAGGTAGGAGTGAGGTGAGGAAGAAAAGAATTGCAGATACCTATACCAGCCAAGCTAGTAAGTATATATTGTCTTGAGTTAAAAAAATAAATACATAAAAATCGGCTCCCTGAGGCTGGAGGGCCGAAACCCAGACGCCCAGCAGCGCGCGCTCAGTTTAGCTGCGGCAGGGAACTGGGCGCTCCCTGCGCCTGAGCTGCTCAAGTTCACCCTGAGGGTGGGGGGAGCCTGGGAGCTTTTGTTCCCGGGAATCCTCCAAACCTAAAGCCTCCCATGGCGCGACGTGAGGCCCCCCGGGATGGGGCGCACACGTGGGCGCCGATGTGTGCGTGGGTACCCGCCGCGGAGAGGAAACTGAGGCCAGAAGGACTCCACCCCTGGCCGGGCCCTCATGCGTTTTGCGCTCACTTACTCACCATTTCTGGGAGCGGAGGAGAGAATGGCATTCACTCCAAACTTCAGGAACGTAGGCTCCCTGGCAGGGGAGACGGCGGTCTGCGGCGATCCGCCCCGCCGGCTGCCGGGACTCGGGGAGCCCAGATCCGACGCCACGGTGTCTGGGAGACTCGCGGGGGTCCCCTGCCTGGGGGGCGACATGCTAGCCGCGGGCACGCTGCGGGGCAGGTAGGCAGGGGGTCGGCTGATGCGGATCAGATCCTCGACCAGGAAGCTAGAGTGTCCGGAAAACGCCGACTGCAGAGACTGGGGCAGCGTTAAGGTGGGTGTGGGGCGCAGGAGGCTGGGGTACCCGGCGGGGGGCGCGAGGAGCCCCGGGAACATCATGGTAGGCGCGAGGCGGGCGTAGGAGCCCTTCTTCCAGTGGCTGCAGGGTAAATGCCTGGCTTCCCGCCCCTCCCGTCCCCCGCGGTACCCTCTCTCTCTTGGGCTTAGCAAAAAAGTCTCCAAATAAGGAACGCTGCTGCCACAGGCCTGGCGCCTGCGAGTCCTCCGTGGTCCTCCCGTCGAGGTGATGGTTTTATAGGGGCCCGCCCGTTAAAGCGCTTTGAAAAGTGACAGCTCTGACAATGAAGTTCAACAAAGTTCTCCACTGGAGCTTCATTCGCCAGGGGCTCTGGGCGCTCTGATTGGCGCAGGGGGTGCAATTTATGATTGGATTAGTCTTCATAAGCATCGCCCGCACAATGGGCCGGCAACAAAGGCTGGCGCGCATCCATTCTGCATATCGACCGCCTCTTGGCCATACAGCGCATCCGCAAAGCTCTGGCCGGGAGTTTTTTTTGTTGTTGTTCCGAAGCAACGCCCGGGCTAATTAAATGCCTATTTAGAAGTTTCAGATGACATCTTGCCTCATAGAAAGGGAATTATTGAAAGGACGCACTAAATTTATTTGCAGCTCCCCTGATGAGCCTAGAAAATAAATCAATAAATATTCATAGAAATTCACCTCCGGGCCATCAGTAAAATAATCCTCCCTCTTTGGGGGGCGGGGGTGGGGGGGAAAGAGGAGGGCAACGGAAAGTTTCAAGCCAATGAACATGAAAATATACTCCCTCTCCCATCTCTAGTCCTAAACGTTACTGCAGCTGAGGCAGAAAACAGGCGTGAGAGGTGGGTTGAATCCGTGCGTGGAGGGGGTGCCACCGGCACAAGCCAGGGGGACTTGACATTGATGCTTAGGGGCTACTGGCTGCCAGGGGTGGAGAGGTCTTGATTTGAGTTGTTCCGTTTTGTGAAACTCGTTGAGTTTGAGCACGTTGGTGAATACCTGGACAGTAAAGGGAGTCTCCTTCTGTAAACTCCCAGCAACTTCAAAAACGATTTTCAGCCACTTTTCTCTAAAAGTGTCACCAGCTCGCCTGGGGTTGGGGCAGAAGGGAGCACCTCTCCCGTAGAGGATATCCGCTTGCAAAGGGCTTCCCCGGCCAGAAGCTGCCTAACCCAGGGTGCCCAGAGGACGAGGAGGATCTATGCAGGCCATTCTACAACCTCCAGGAGCCTTGGGCAGTTCCAGGTGAAATTCACTTATAGCCTGAACTTTTAAAGCTGTAGTGACTAATTAAAAAAGCCGTAGTGACGATAGGGAATTGCCCACTCGTGGCGAGGTGCTTAACTTGGTCAAGGTTTTGCAGCTTCTTAATTAACTGCCCTGTACAAAAGCCCGAAAACAGAGCAAAGGCCGCGCTTCCCAAGAATGTCATTCCACATCAGGAAAGCTCATCCTGATTGGGGGGCCTCAGACAAGATTTATTCCTGCAGACAGACCTTCCCTTTCCTCGGAGCGGGCCTGGATCCCCGGTTCCTCTGCTCTGCGAGATAACAGATGTGTTAAACGTCCCATTCATCTTTTTAGCGAGGCTGAACCTCCCCCAAAGAGAAGTGTGCAGCCTCGCCAGGCCTCCCTGATCCTATTAACCATGAACTAACTGTCACCTTCAGCTGGGTTTCCTTTTCGCTTTTTAACACAAAGCTTTCTCAAAAATCTTATTAACCAGCTTTATTTCTCGGGATGGTTTTGTTCGAGGCATTTTGTCGTGGATGATCTCCATGTCGCTGCTTTAACCATTCAATAAAAGTGCATCTGCGATTTATATCACATTAAGCCAGAAACGGGGCCTGCTCACTTTCTCCCTTGGTTCAAATTAAAAAGTTGTTGAGAGGCGGGCTCTGGAGCCGAATGAATCAGGGCTCGAAAGGCGACGCGAGTGTGGAGTTTTCTGCGCCCCTGACTGCGCTGTGGACACGTCCTCGGCGGCGGGCGGTGAAACCCCCCCCCCCCCCCCCAAGGCCAGGAACGACCTTTAAATAAGTGACTATTTAAATACGGAAAGTACCTGGCTCCAGTGCATGGGAGACCCCGGAACAGGGAAGTCTAGGAAGAACTCGAACAGTTACCTTTTCTGAAGTTTTCCAATTTTAAGGGAGGAAACTCCAAAGCATTTGAACACATGTGCTTTAACTTAGCCACAGGCCAAGTTTTCCATCACAAAAAAAATCACCACCGTCCTCACCAACTGCTTTCCGGAAGTCACAGGAAGGACTCTGTATTTTTGTATTGTCTTTCTTCCCCCCCCCCCCAACCAACCCTGCCCTCCCCCCCCCCTCTCGCCCAACCTCTTCGTTTTGTACCCCCCCCCTTCTTTCTTCCCTCTCTCCATCCCTCCATCTGGGAGCAGAACAAAGGCGGCGGGCAGCAACTACAGGTGTTGGGTTTCGCATCTAGGAAGTGCTTGCTCAACTTCTGGAGATCAGAATACCGTCTGTTTGCAGGGTTTTGTTTTGGGGAGCAGTGAGAACTCAAAGCCAGTCTAGGGCCTTCCTAGCGCCCCCTTCCCCACTCCTCCCCCGCTGGGACACTCTTCTGGAAGTAGCTATTCCAGTTATTATCCTGCCCACTGACACGCTCCATCCTAGACACACACTTGGTCTCTCTGCCTCATTACAGACGAACCGCTGCTCTCTTCTCTTCTTTGAAAAGGGGGCACTGACATTTTTTTGGAACGTGGGTCAACCCCTTACTGCGACCCACGTGGACCCCACTTCCAGCGGTCCGGGTCCGCAAGCATCCTGAAGGCGCCAGAGACGAGCCGGGAGGGCGGGAGAGAGGACTGGCCGCCCGTGAAAAGGCAAAATAGATCCGAAGGAAGCAAGACATCGGACGAAAGGATCTTACTTTACGCGATCTCCTTGAACGCGCCTTTGGAAACTCCTGGATGGCCCAGGGCCCACGCGGCTAAGACCTGTGACTAATGCTGTTTGACCCGAGCCCCCGGGTCTGTGCGCCCTGCCATTCATTGTAACGTCGTTATCTTCACGTTTACGTCGGAGAAGCCACTGGCGCCCTCTGTCCCAGAGCTGGGCTGTCTGTTTCTCTTTCAAGGGAAAAGAGGTCAGGAGAGGAAAAGAGAATCGGAGGCCCTATCCGGACCCTAGTCGGTGCCCAGAGCTCGTTTGCTGGGCCCGGGAGGCTGCTGCAGAGCGGGCTGGACTCCTGGGGTGAGGTGGGGGGCTTCCTGGACCCACCCGAAGGGCTCTCAGAACCGGTTCTGAGGGGTTCTTTTCCCCAGGACAGGGGAGAGTGGAAGCGTCCCGAGCCAATGCGCTGCGCTCTCCTTGACCCTCTCCAGAGCGGGCGGAGCCGGGAGAGCCCCTGGTAAGCGCTGGCCCTGGAGGGAGGCGAAAAGCGCTGCAAAACAGAGCGCTTTAAGATTCCTGGTCCTCCGAAAAGACGCAGTGACTCCGCTAGGAAAGGTTTGGACCCTAAGGTTCTATTTTGCATAGCGGGCAGGAGCTTCCAACAGGCCGGATATTGCAAGTTTGGCAGGACGCGGGCCAGCGGCGTTGGGGTGGGGGTTTGAGACGGGGGAAAGCACCCGCCCCCTGGCTTCTGTGGTTTTGCGGGGAAAGAGAGAGCCATCCCTCTCTAGGCAAAGGAGGGGAGCTGCGAGGCTTGGCTGAAAGAGCTGTCTTCCCGCCCCAGAGCTCCAGGCAAGCGGCTCTATTAAGACACCGCTGAGGGCTCACCTTTAGAATAGGCCACAAGGAGCTACCGGCAGCCCAGCCCTTTCTAGCATCTCCCTCCACCCCCATTCCTTTCACTCTCACCCCCCCCCCCCTTTTTTTCCTTGAAAATCCTTCTATTGTGCCAATCAAGCAGATGGTTTGCAGGAAATATAGCTTGGCCTCGCTGACCGAAACTAATTTTAACTAGCTTTCCAAGCCTGAAACGTTTGTTTTGCTCTTACAAAATAGCCCCCAAAACAGCTGGCAAGGGTGAATTAAACCCATTAAAGACACATTTATAAGAAATTATATTCACATAGATTGCCCGAACCCCCTTGAGCTGCCTGCGAGAGGAGATGAGCGCATTTAAATGAAAATGTCGCTGGCAGCTCCCCTCCTTAACGTAGCCTGAAAGTCTCAAAACATTTTACTAAATAGATTAACTTGACTATTGTCTTGCATCACATTTATCAGCTTCATTAAGTGAATGGCTGAACAAATATATTACGCATGCATGAAAAGCTCTTTTTCCAGGAGCCTCATTGTATCCTCAGCCCTGACAGGTGGTTAACTGTGTGTTGTGTTTTTTTGTGGGTTTTTTGTGTTTTCTTTTTTTTTCCTTTTCTTTTTTTAGCCCGAAGAAAGAGGATCTCTGTAGAGCAGGGTGGAGCACGGTGCTGCCTTGGTAGTGCTTTAGCTAGCTGCTTGGACCCTTCGGTCCAGGGCTTTTCACACTGTGAGTTGTTGGCAAAGGCAACCGAAACCCATTCAAAAGAATAAAAATTAAATTTTGGCGAGCCAATCCCAGAGTGCTTTCTCTCTCCATCACACCCCCCACCATCCCCTTGTTTGGCAAATTTACTTCTTTTCAAATGTTGATCTCTCTCAATATAAATTGCCTTTGCTCTTCCTTCTCTGAAGATTGCACTGTTAGATATATTTTTAACTCAAATTTGGATCTATTTCACTTTTGGGAAAAGTCCTTGTCTTCTGGGCCTCAGTGTCCCTGTGTGTAAAAGAAGTGTTTTTGCTAAAGAGCCTTTCAGTTCTGACCTAAGGTTTAAAAACTCTCATGTTTCCGTTACCCTTCAGCTAGCCTCAGCAGCTCCCAGCCTCTGGCCTGGGCTGGACACCCGATGGACAGCATTTCTGAGAGTGAGGAGTGTGCTCTGAGTGGAGGGAAGGAGAGTGGAGTAAGCTGGGGGCTTCTAGACAGATCCATTGGCTTAGGAAGGGAACAGATGCTGGACCTCCTGGATGGAGATCCACTGGGTTTGGAGAGCAGATTCCTGAGGCCTAGTTCCTTGCTTCCTGCCCCACATGCCTCCCTGCTTAATGCCTCTCTGCTCCAGGTTCCTCTAGAGTCTTGGCCCTGCCACAA